TCATTCACCAAATTGCGAATAATCCTCTCAGTAGGATTATTATAGCGACCGTAAAATGGACGAAGCGCGTGATACGTTGCCCGAACAAAACACACATTTTGATACAACAATTTTATTATTTGCACATTTTGTTAAATCCTATATTCGTCCATGATGATTTAGCAAAATAGACTGAATAAATGACAACTAATATGACAGATGTCCTTGTTGGAATACTCTATATTATTTAAGTAATATCATCAATTGAGAATGAAAAATATATGCATTATAATGTCGACAAACAATGATGCTTACTTAAACCCAACTGAATACAAATGCAGCCCCAACAATTTATGTAATGGCAATGACGCTGATTACAGTGATTACACATCACAGCACATTTAATAGATATTTTGTCGCTGTAAGTTCGTTTCATTTGGATAATCTGAACCCGATTTCACATATTTTACTTTGTTTCTGTATATTAAAATTGTTTTTTTTTTTCAATATCGTATCTCTGACTAGTAAATTACAGATCCTTCCATCAATCAATGAATTGATAAAAAATGTATTTGTGCGATTGATAATTGCGTAAATAAATCATTCAGATTTCAAACGTTCTCTCCTTTCGTCTTTCTTTCTCGCTCTGATGAGGTAGGGGATAAAAGGTAAGGAAAAGAAAGGGAAACAAGGTGGGATCTTCTTTCCACTACTTTTCGACCGAGAACCAGATGAATAATCGGACACGATTCAACGCGGTGGAACCAAGTATTATAATTATTACTCCTCATTGATATTTTAAAAACACTCTCAAACACTGATTTTAGTCCAATTGCGGGGAATAAGTCTTCCACTCTTCTCCTTGAGCCGAGAACAGACATGCGGTTCTCGGCAAATCCCGAATATTATTCGCTGTATGGGTTTCACAAGGCGAATATTCGCTATTCGGTGTTAATTCGGTGTTTTAACATAGATACTGAACAAAAACTCATTTACGTAAAAATTCAAACCGAATCTTTTAATCACAAGAAAATTTTATTCACTGTTAATTTTTCAGCTTCATAAACAATCTCAAATCTCAATTTTGAAACATTCTCATATTTGTTTACAATGAATGTGTGAAGTCTGATGAATTGTAATATTTCTAACGATCGATTGTGTCATCACGTGTTCATTGCTTGTTTATTCAACTAACAATAAATCTCGAGAAGTGAATTCAAGAAAACAAAATACTTCTAAAATGAAAATATTTACGTCAAATTAGTGCCACAATCGAAACTAATTGACCTTGCGCCTTAACACTACTAATAAATAATTTGTTTGTTCATAACTTTTCGACTATGAATGAATCGACACAATGAATCCAGTCTGAAAAATATTTACTGCACGCCTCAATTATTTTGATATATTGTTTGATATATTGAGGTTAAAAAAAATTTAATATTTCCATGGGAATCAATTTTTTCAGTCTGACATATCACATTTCAGGAAACTCAAAAAAATTAATTAATCAAAAAGCTAACGACACATTTCCTTTGTTTTGAGAAAATTCTGTCGTCGATTGTCTGAAAATCATTTAGTGTGATTATCGTTAATTATTTGTTTTCCCCTTTAATTCAAATTCTGGTAACTACGCATTCATTTTTTATATCAACTCAAAAATGTTATTCTTCTAGTTAAAAAAAGGTCATTGCCGGGAAAATATCAGAAATTTCACAGATATGCGTACTGGTTAATTATATGACTGAAACTCTAAATTTTTGAATGTGCAACTGAGCAAATATTGAACATAGCAATATGTATGTGAAACATTAGCAATAACAAATCTGATGATTCGAATTTGAAAAGTTGATTTATCAAAAAGGTATTCACGAGTGTTTGTCTATCAGAATGATCTCAACGACTTCAAAAGAACGTGATGAAGGGTCAACAGATTCGAGAGAAATGTCTAAGTAAACAGATAAATATTAGGAAATAATTCTAAAAAAATTCTGAGGAACTTTTGAGGTTGCTAATCAAATACAGACGTTGAGCCCCCATCAAGATAGCCATCATGCAATTTTTGTTCCTACGGTTGAAACTTGGACCACTGTTGGCATTGAAACAACTTGCGTCGATGAAATAGTATCTCACCGAGCTTTGCAGGATATTATCTATAAACAATCTACCGTTTATTGTTTAGGAAAAAAATTAACAAGAATGAAAATATTCAATTGGATTTCGTAACCGACGTTCACTTTTCAAAAATTGTACCTAATGGAATCAGCTCGGAAATCATTATTCCTGAAATTGTTAGTCTGAATATTGGATCGCACTGAATCTGTGATATTGGATATCATATTGTAGATGCCTCAATCTTCCGTGAATTAATTTTGGTTGAATTATAGTCCATATTATGACCTTCTTTGAAAACGTGATTGCTGAGAGCATATCTCTCAGGATATAATCTACTATCACTTTTGTATGAAGTGATTCTATCTTTAAGTAGTCTTGACGTTTGACCAATATATTCATTAGTACAATTCAAACATGGTATGGAATAAACTAAATGAGATTAAAAATTTGTAGGAGTTTTATCCTCAAATTTTGAAAGTAATTTATTTATGGTTAATATGGTTCTGAAAGCTATAACTTAGGTGTCATATCACTGATGTTATGGTAAAGAGGTAAAGACTATAGAAATTGGGACTGGGACTAATCTACCTGATTAGCCCCAGTTGTGACATTATTTGATTATAAAGGATTTCTATCCAACTGGTTGTTATTATCAAGTTGAACGTCAATGGATAACGACGTACTAAATAAGATCTTAAGTAGCATTTCATATCGTCAAAAATACCAGTTTCAATTTTCAAATATGTATTTTATCGATCTTGTTTAGATTGTCAAATTTTTATCAGTTCGATTCATCTTCAATGATCCTTACTTTTGAAACAATTATAGTATTTTTACTTAAATAAGATGTATTTGGGGTGAAAAATAAATGAATTATACTTAAAATATATACAGATCCAAATTTAAACATTCATGAAAGTTTTTGTTCGTATACCTTTTGCATGTATCCTTAATTATCATTATTAAATAATTTCTGAGAATGATTATTAGGTTGGATGTATGTTATATCAAACTAGATTACGCAATTGACGATATTGATCTCCTCTCTGAAATATATGATTTCAAGGTGTCTTTAGCGATAAAAGAATTGTTGCATATCATTTGAAACAAAAGTAAGTATATACATTTTATTTACTTGCCCACTTTATGTTTCTATTGAATTATACTTTCTAAAAACTACATAACTCATTGTTTTTTATGATGAAGAAAAGAGAATTGAAACTTTCTATGTTTTTTACCACTTTTATTTGTAACTAACGTTACTGCAGTTTCGTCCTATAAGGACATTTTCAAAATTATACATTGAACTTTAATGTAAAGTGTAAAAGTAATGTAAAGTGGTAAAAAACATAGAAAGTTTCAATTCTCTTTCCTTCATTATGTTTTCTATCACGTAGTAACGGCTTCGTCCATCAATTTATTGTTATTTATGGGAATATTATAAGTTATTATAAGTTAATAAGTGTGACTGATCAGTGTCTGTACATGATAGACATTGAGAAAAATTATAATTGCGAGTCTTTATTAACGCAATAGAACCCAAAACAAAAAAGTTTTGCCTATTTGTCTTTTCAAGAATATGTTTGTTTGTATTTGCGTTTGTGCGCATAAATCTCGAAAATGGCTTATCCGATTTAGATGAGGTTTCCACTAATATATAATGTAAGCTCCATTTAAGATTTCGTGTTTGATTCATTTCAATCCATTAATAAAAAAGTTATGGCAATTTTAAGAATTGAAGATGCGGCTTACTTTTTAACGTATTAGGAATCACACGTTGAAATGTAAGACCTTGTTGGTCCTTAGCTTGCACAAGTTTCGATTTTGAGAGTTGTCGTTTGTAGAGGAGGGCGACAGCTGGTTAACGGGAAAACAGCTTTTAACCGAAATAGATTTTAACAGAACAGAAATTTGTTGAAAAAAATGCAACAAAACATTGTTCAATTGGTTTGTCTGAAACTTTAGTTGATGAACAACATCGCGGGCAACAGGTAGTACTTGAATATTTCTAAATGACCACCCAAATAGAACCATCACAATTCGAAAACCTATTCAAAATGAAAAAATCACATGAATTTCACTTGATCTTGGAATATTTGAAAATACTTTGCTGACCAAGACATTCCCAACGTAATATTTCTATAACACTTCACCTTTTCGTTGCTTGATATGCCAGTACCAGAAATGAGAAAAGTTGAATCTACTTCTTTTGGGGGTCAGGGTAGGTCAAGTTCGGTTAAGATAGGACGTAAAGTAGAGTTAATATTTGATAAGAATATTTTTAAAATTGACAATTCAACGTCTGTACAAGAAGTGAGGAAAAATGGTTCAGGTTTAAGAAGAATGTGAATCAAAATTACGAGAGTAAACTACCCCCAAAAGAGGTTATTTGAAGTTTTGTCATTGGCGTCATATCAAAAAAGCTGAAATTATGAAGTTTCATCGAAATATCATTTTGTGAAGACCTTAGCCAGCAAAATATGGAATATCTTCAGAGTAAGCCAGGCCTGAAAGAAATAAATTTTTTATATTATTGAAAATCTTAGCATATCAAGGGAGGTGAAATTATAAAGTTAAATGGGAATATTTACACGAGTGAACCAACCTTCAAAAGGTGTAATTTCAACTATTCTAATTGGTGGTAGTCATAAAAGAAATTCAATATTAAATTTGACTGAAATATTCTGATGAAAAACCCCTGTTAGCAAAATATTAAAATTATTGAATACGAAGGTGTTATAAATGTTACATAGGTATATCGCCAGCGGTTACCTCATTATTTCTTTCTTTCACCTGTAGCTGAGTACTACGTTCAAAGATATTGTTCAAAATATTCTAAAATGTTCAATATTGTTGACGCCTTGTTTGATAGTTTCGAGTTTCCTGTTGAAAACTTTGTCACTCACCTTGACATTTTGAAATAGCCAAAAAACAAAACCACAACAACAACCTCACCAACGAACACGTTCGAGCAGATCTCACACGACACATGTTGCCAATTGTAAACATATATATCCACTGACAATAATCTCCAACAGAGCAGCGGCTTCTGGAAGTGACCGTGACGTAGAGATCATCATCAAGACTAGACACTTAATGAGGTGGTTCATTGGGTTCTTCAGGTGCTGGATAGTAGGGGAGCTCAGAGCTCATAGTTGGTTATTTTCATTTCGATATATTTTTTTGTTTTAAATATTTCATTTACCTCTGTAAATTGTTATTTAGTGAATTTACCTTTTTATCCATTCTCTGTTCGAAATCTGATAATTATATATAAGAAACAAAATAAAGGTTTTCTTAGTAACTTGAAATGAATTTGACAAAATTACACACAAGAACAGCGAATAGGCTTGCCTCATGTTCGAAGATAGATTAGAAAAAAATGTTATTTATAACGGCATATCATCACAGTTGACGGTATTTTTAACAGACAGATTGGACACGAATGTTTAAATTTTAAATGTAATATTACTGACCCGTAAACATTATGTGTAAAATCAACCTTTGAATTATTGAAAATGCAACTTCGATTATGTTCACAAATCAAAATTGATAATTTCATTGAAAATATAAAAATGAGAATAAAAATAATGAAATATTAATTTCAAAAGATCCAATACGTACTCATTCAATCATCAATGAGAAGAAAATCAAGTGGGCACCAGCTTGCCAATATTATAAAAAGCAAAATACTAAACAGTCTTCCCATTTCATTGTATTGTTTCGTCGTGTATGGGTAGTATAAACGATTCCATCACAACAGAATTCCAAGTTCCAAGTAACAGATAATCAATAATTAGTTTTACAGAAAACCCCATTTCAAACGCATTTGAGACGTTGTGTCACCATAATTCTCTCCTAGGCGTTTAGGATGGAATTTTTTTTTCAATGAGTAGATACGTATAGCAAATATAAGTTTCCAGCCCATGATGATTTTTTGCTTCTTACCCGATTGAAACATATAGGTCTTCGTCTCGCGATCAAGTTATTCGAAATCCAATTATGAAAAAACTACTTTTTTGATATTTGCTAGGATTATTTATCATGGCATGGCCAATATTTGGTTTAGTATCTTCTCTAGTTCTTTGTATTGCATGTTGAAATGTATAATAAAAAAGTTATTTTTAAGTATTTTATTTCACTGTTATTTCATTTCAGTTTTTTTGCCTAATATGATTGTTATTTTCAGCAATTTTTTTAATTCTTTTTTATATTATTAGTTCTTTCAGGAATTTCAAATCATTTTATATAATATCAGACAATGGAAGTCCGAACTGATGAAATTTATCATGAAACATTCTCAATCACCTTCAAACAATAACATTGGTGGACATTTTTTATTCTTTCCCAAAACGTTTGCATAATGTAACAATTTCTCTGGAAATAGGTAGGTTGGTATAAAAATTTACTGAAAGCACTATTTCATTGAACACAATAATTCTATGAAAAAAATTAGAATATATTGTTTTTCTTTCGGGCTATTGATCAGCAAATGCGACCATATGACCTAGAAATAGATGAAACAATTGTAAAGTTTATCACTGACATCTGATTAGAGTTGAAAAATCATTTCCGTACGTTCATATCGATGACAATGAGAAAACTGTTATACAATTGAAGTACCTACGAGTTTCATTTTCAACATTTATTCATTCATTCTTTACAAACTTCTACATCAATATTGCAAATAATATATGATTTCGCTGAATGTATGGGTTACACCTAGGTATAAAATATACATGTATTGTGCTTTCCCTTCAATTCAGCAGATTATAAACCATGTATATATCAAATACATGAAATGTATTTGTTCAATAAACACAATGAGTGAAATCGGAGGGCTATTCAATTCTAGTGGTTTCAGTGGGTTTTTGGCAGGAGAGCTAGGAAAAGATGTATTTAAAATATTTGATTGGCGAATGTTAGCAAACGTGAACAGTGAACAGTATTCATTCAAGAAACAGATTGGGTTTTTTTTGTATATAATTTTTCAAGGTAGTTTTGAGTGTTTTTATACCATTTATAGCTTTCAGGTTTTCAGGAACGAGGTTAAAAAATGTTGGGCCATTGCAAAAAATAATTCTTTTGAAATGAGTTTTCCTAAAAAATTGAATTTTTGATCTTTTGTGACTATACTTGACCTTATTACATCCTCATCTAGTTTTTCGAATTTACCGTTGTTTAAATAGATTCACATGATGCTTCTGTAAATATATAAGGAATTTATATTCATTATCAGCATATTGTTGTAGTGTAATGTGGTTGATACGATGTCGGTCAGATTGAAAAATGTATTCATTAACAATCATATCCTTTTGATCAAGTGATCAACATCTTCATTCCACCCCATGTGCTGGTCGATAAAAATTCCTAAGTAAATAATCGATGATGTCTTTGTAATTTGGGGGCATTGAAACTGTAGACTTGGGCAATCAGATTTATGAGTTTTATTTGTTTTTGTGTTTCACACACATATACATATACCAACACAAAAATAATTTTTGAAATGCCAAAATAATGTATAGAAACAAAAATATGTGTAGTATAAAATATGATTGAAAGGTATCATTATAAAAAAAGTAGTGTTAGTTATGGGAAGACCTGAATTTAGGGTCTGACGTGTGGTGTAGTGAGAGACAATAGAGGGAAGTTCTGTTCTATGTTTATGCACTAAACAAACTGTTTCTGAAATGAATAGAGCATACAGTGATAAAATTTTGTTTGCTATAAACAAAGGCCTTCAAGAATCTCGCCGCCTGGCTCTACAGAGAAATCTTAATGACCTATTCTGCAGAATAAAAATCGACTCGAGTCGAGTTTGATTACTTACCCCCCAAAAAATATCCCATATCTTAGATGTGATTCTACTAATGAATAATAGACAGTTTCAGCTGCAGTTAGTCCTAGTTCGTTATATAGAAGTTATTTTCACAGCATAACATCCAGATGAAAGTTTTTTGTTAAGAGACATTATGTGGTCCTCAAATTTCAATTTATTATCAATTAATAACCCAAGAAATTTGTTGCATGACGTGTTCTCAATCACATTCGAATTCGAAGCTAGAGGAATATCATCAAGAATGCAATTAAAGGATGAAACTTTAGTTTTTGAGACACTGAAAGCTAATAAATTTGCCTTGCACCAATCTGAAAGTTTGGAAATATCAGAGCAAATGGCATTATATAGATCATTTGTGTTGGTATTGCGCCATAATATTGTAGTGACGTCGGCGAATAAAGTAAATTTACCCTCAATATCAACGGTAGTCAAGTCATTGATATAGAATAGAAATAGGGTAGGTCCCAGTACTGATACTTGTGGTACTCCGTTAGATATGTTAGAAACATCAGATACTGTTGTATATTTAATCCTTTGATTTCTACCCGATGTATAAGAAGCAAACCATTTATGAGTAATACCTTCAATACCATAGAGAAAGTGTCCTGAGCAGAATTTCGTGATTAACATAGTCAGATATAAGAGAAAAGGTGATGAATTTTGTTTTTTGTATATTTATACTTGATTTGTTATTATTTAGCCATAATCCACTTTTCCTAAAATCGGACCCAATACTGTACCTTGAGACACACCAATAGATATGATTGAGGATGAACTTTGGATTTTACCGATTTTAACTTGTTGAGTTCTATCACTTACATAGTTTTGAAAATGTTGTAGGGATATTCCTCTAATACCATATCCTTCATGTTTTTTCAACAGTGCATCATGAGACACAGTATCAAATACTTTAGCCAAGTCCATAATAATCGCTAAACACTTAGACGATTTGCCAAGAGAAGTTTAAATTTTTTTTGTGAGATCTAAGATAGCATTTTCAGTATTACAATTCTGTAAAGCTATATTGATCTTCTGTTATAACATAATGCTCCCTGAAAATCGTTAACAGTCTACTTTTGATACAATGTTCGAATATTTCAGCTAGCATATTTGTTTGAATTCAAAAAAGTTCATTTCTTGGAATGATTATAGTTTTTGGAGGAATGATAGCTAATTAGCTTCATTCACTCCCGTTGTAATATTGATATATACACAAAAGACTTACAATTTTACTTCTTTCAATAAATAGTGTAAATGAGAAAGAAGTATATGCTTCTCTACTATCTATTTAAATTCGCCATTACTCATAAATCACTTTTTATATGAATATTTGTAACACCAACGTATGATTCAGATTTCTTTCTCGACGAAGAAAAAGTACAGATCCATTCTACAGATTAGTAATCATTTAATCGGAAATATTTCTATTCTGACGTAATTATACAATAACAAGTTATTGGAAATCGTAGTGAATCTATGGAATGTAATAGGTTGCGGGTATTTTATCAACTATATGCATTCCAGAGAAGTAGATTGAGCTGGCAATGAATTTATTGTCAAATTCCTATTCGATTTTCAAATTTCTGTAGTTAAAAAAAATAATCACTCGTTACAGTTGCCCTCTTAGAATATTTTAGGCTTTCAGGCTATCAAACACTTTTTCAGTATTCAATGTTTGTTGTGAAAAATATATTTCATTTGTTAATTTCATGTGTGTGTGAGTCAATATCACTGAACTGTATTTCTCAGAAACGACCTCATTTTGCGACAGCAACCTTTTGTTCTAGTAAAATGTTTCGTTAAAAAAATGTTCTGCTCCATAATCGTAAATATTATCATTCGATATGTTTGTGCGATATCTATTGAAGGACTGAAGGATGTAAATGAGTACCTCTGGGCAAATAAATTGAAACTAAGTAAAATGAAAACTAAAGGAATGTTATGATAACAAAATAAAAATGGAACAACCTTGATTTAAACGAAGTAAATCTACAAATCGATAATGAAAACATTGAAATTGTGTCAGGTATCAAATATCTTGGATTCCAGTTAGATATTATATTACTTTTGATTATATATGAAAAAAAATATCTAAATAACTATATTTCTTTGCAAGAATATCTGGTAATTTATCCACTCAGTTTAAAATTATTGTATACAATGCGATTATCCAACCACATTTTGATTACTGTGCTTCTATTATTTTCTCAAACATCTCAATTACAAAAAC